CAGCCACAGCATCAGGAAGACTGACAACTACTCAACCTTTGTCTTAGGCAATTACTGTACATTCTACTTCTTGGATGTTATCACACAATCCACTTCCAGGAAAAACTCTTTCTAATTTCTCCTAGATTAGGTTTGGAGACTGTGTGTGTTTTCCTATTCATCCCATTCTTGAGGTATTTTTTTCTCATCCCCTGGAAACAAATTCAGTGATATTAAGGCCTTATTTGTGTTGTATTTTAGTATTTAACATAGTGTCTGGCCTATAATAGATTACAAAAATCAATCTATTAAATGAATGCAATATATATTAAATATAGTAAATAAGATTGAAAGACTATAATGGTTTGGCTTGCCCTGCCTTCACTATCATTCTCCTACTAGTGCAAAAGCAAAAACAACTATCCAGACTCTAACAGACTGAGCATATAAGAAAGTGCATACCTAAAATCTAAGCCTATAACAGGATAGAAGACATACATACAATCCATGCAGCTGTAGCCATCTGAATTTTGACAACGATATCAAAAATATATAATAGAAAACGTGCAACTCCTTCTGGAAAAAAAAATGGTGCTGAGAAAACTGGATAGCTACATGCAAAAGAATGAAACTAAATCTTTATATCTCACTGTATAAAAAAAAAATCAACTCGAAATAGACCAAAAGTCTTAAAGTAAAACCTTAAACTCTGAAACCATTAGAAAGAAAAGCAGGAGGAACATTCCAAGATATAGGCAAGGCCTTTCTGAATAGGACTCCAGTTGTCCAGGAAATGATGCTAACAACTGATAAATGGGGGCACATGAAGTTAAATTTTTTTCTTCTCAACAAAGGAAACAATCGCGTGAAGACACACTCTACAGAATTGGCAGGAAATCTTTGTTAGTTATCCATCTGACACAGGATTAACTCTAGACTATATGAAGAACTCATAAAACTAAGTAAGAAACCAAACTCAATCAATAAATGGGCTAATGAAATAGACAGTGGGTCCTCAAAAGGCGAAGCAAAATGGCCAATAAACAGATACAACTATATTCAATCTCAGTAGCCATCAGAAAAATGCAAATTAAACAATGCTGAAATTTAAAATAACATCAAATGCTGGTAAGAACGTGGGCAAAGGAGAACCTGCATGCGCTGCTGGTGAGGGTGTACCCTGGTCCATCCATGATGGACACCATAAGGAGTTCTTCCCAAAACTTAAAGTAGATCTACTCTATAATCCAGCTGTTTCTGTGTATTTACCAAGGGAATCCAAGCCAGCCTATTGCAGAAATGCTTTCCTAACTATTCTTTTTGAAGCACAATTCACAATAGATTAGTTATAGAGCCTGTCTGGGTACCCATCAGTATAGGAATGGATAAAAAGTAATGCATATAGACAGAATGAAATTTTTTTTTTAGCCATAAAGGACAACAGAGTTATGTCATACAGGAACATAGAAATGACTGAGGATAATCATAATAAACCAAGTATGTTAGTCACAGAAAGACAAATATTGCATATTTCTCTCACTTGTCATTTATAGAATGTATACATACATAAAATCATATACATACATACATGTGACATAAAAGTAGAAGTGAAACTGTCTACGAGAACAAAGGGCACCATCAGGAGTAGGAGTGGGGAGATGGGAAATATGTTCAAAGAACACAATATACCTGTATAAGTCTTTCTAACACATTATCATGTACAATGGATCTACACCAATGGAAATAAATATATAAAATCTAAGATTTAACAAAATGTGAAAATCATGAGAAAAGGTAGCAACACTCAAATCTGTAAATCTGAGAGTGAAATGCTACATGGTAGAAGGCACTCTTTGATGTACAAAAAAAGATACTGTGGCTTTCCATATGCTGCTGAGCATTTGTGAGAGTTGCAGCTTCCAGCTGAATGACCTGACCCAGATCTGTCAGGCCATTGCGTGGCTTGCTCCAAAATAGATCTTGCCTGCCTAGTTGGGGAAAGAAAATTCTACATGTTTTCAATAATTTACATAGAAAGAAAGCCTACTGGAAATTAAGCAGACGCGTGAAACATTAATTTTAAATTAAATTTAAATTCATCCATTTTAAATGTTACCATCTTTTGACTAGGTAAGGTGGTGTATGGTCCAAAAACTGGATGACATAAAAATTGTCCATCTTGAGACGTTTCTTTCCAAATCTTATTTCTGACAACTACATTTCCTATGGTCTACTACACCACTAAAAACCACTTTCACTGGTATATCGTCAATATTTATTTGTATATGTAGAAATAAATTATATTCATTGGCTCCTATCTTCTCCCCAGGACATAAGAGATAGTGTATATTTATATTACTTACAAAGGGTAGAGTTAATTGATTGATCTTTAAGGCTGTATAAGCTATTTCTAATCTTTTGCTATGATGTAATAGATATATAACCTTGTGCTAGCTTTCTATTACTATAACAGGTTCTGAGATAGTTAACCAATAAGGTGGAGCATGTTTCCTCATAGTTTTATAGTTTTAGTCCAGAATTAATTAGCCCCTTGTTTGGGGGTATTGGCAGGGTATCATGTCTGGAGCACACAGCAGGACAAGATGACCCACCTCATGGTCAGAGTGCAAACAGAAAGGAAAGGATCAGGGTCTCACCGACCCCCTTTAGCAGCAAATGACCTAAGGGCTTTCCATCAATCTCCAACTCTTAAAGTCTTACCACTTCCCATTGGTAATCCTGCTGGGGGCTTAGCCTTCAGTGCATGGGCTGATATTTAAGATCCAAACTGTATCAAGCCTTCAATATGAAAGAGAAAATTATTTTAGATGGGCTCGCCCTAGAGTGGCTCAGAGTGTGGATGAGAACAATCTGGCAACTAGCGAAGGCCAGAGTCCCCCTGTGGGCCTTGTGGCTGGTGGGTTCCTGCAGTCACTTAGATTTGTAGTGAAGGGTCAGGCAGATTTTTCACGTGGAAAACTCTTTGTTCTTGATTTTTTTTTCCAAGTGAGATGGTCATCAAGTACTGAGGTTCAACTGCATAGCCAAGGCTATTAGGGGTAAGAAGTTTTTAGCATTTACAAGATACCACTTTGTTCTTAGGAAGATGAAAAATAATTGGGAAAGTCTACTTTTAGCCAGTGTTCCACATTCTGATTAATGTTTTCAAGACTCACGATTGAACTTCTTATGAGGCACTCCCTGCCTGACATGACATGGGGACTTAAGTGGCTATAGTACAGCAGGCACTGTGAGTGGTCCATTAAACATTCATCCCTCTCCATTCTAGCTCCATTGTAGCCTCACTCCCATCACAGTAGTGGAACCCGATTCATCTGAATTAATCATGGCGACATGTCTTCTAAAAATGAGTGGCTGAAGTATTTCCAGGTGGCCTACTTTGGGAAAATGGATTCTGGAAGACACATCTGATTGGGTAGCATAAGTTTTGAGGACAGAAGTCTGAATTACAATCTTTTTTTCCTTGTAGCCTAATAGGTAAGATCTCAAAGCTCTGCTCAGTTTCATAGTGGGAAAGGTAGATTCATCTGACCCGGCCACAGCTACTCCATAGGCATCATGGTGAAAGAAGGCTTGGTAGAATAACAGGCACTGGTGCCAAGGGCTCCTTCGGAGACTTTAAATAATGTTTTAAAAACTTTAATAGAGGGGAACTGTAGAGACCTAGGTTTTCCACCCTTCCTGTACTAGAAACTAGCCTGCATTCATTGTCGCTCTCTGAAACAGGAACAGTGCTAAAAAAAAAAAAAAAAAAAAAAAAAAAAAAAAAAAAAAAAAAAAAAAAGTAGTTCACCTGTCCATCAATGCTTCTATTTGCAAGTTCTCACACATCTTTAGAACTAGACTCATTTCTTCAGGGCACATCAATGGTTTACAGTTTTGTACTCTGCCAAGAGAGGATGCTTAGTTGCGCTGTACAGCAGATACAGTGTTTGAGTTTAGAGTCTCTATTCTGCTGTCTTTCATTTGAGGGTTTCTGCTTGCAAGTGTTGGAAAAAATTAGGTCTGCTTTAGAAAAGAGTTTTGTTGTTTGCTTTCAAAGTTTTTCCCTTTAAGGATAATGGTTTAGAATTAGCCGACTTACATGTTGTTGATTTGTTTCCTTTACAGAGGAAAGTACCCTAGCAGTTACCCTGATACCCTGATTGCCCATTCTTGAATGGCCATAGATTAAATACAAAGTGATGTGGACCCAAGGAATAAAACCTTTTCCTCTCTCTCTCTCTCTCTCTCTCTCTCTCTCTCTCCCCTCCCCCTCTCTTCCTTCATCTCCTCCCTCCCCCTTCCCTCTCCTTCCCATATGTGTGTGTGTGTGTGTGTGTGTGTGTGTGTGTGTGTGTCTGTCTCTCTCTCTCTCTCTGTGTATTTTGAAGGTAACATATACTGGGAGAAAACATGGATTTTTAGAGGCAGAAAGCAGACTTGCTTACTCAACTGGCAATGCCATGCACAATAATAAAATTATGAGGCCCTTTGTTAAAACAGTAATTTCATGACAGTGACAATAAAGATTTAAAACAAGTCAGGGAGTCTCATGGCACCCTGCCTAATAGCCTTCACTTTCAATCTCACTTCTGTCTGCCTAAAGCTTCGAAGCTTTAGATAAGCCACCCTCTTAGAGTCTCACTGTTTCAACTATAAAATAGTGACAACACATCCTCTTTTGAGTTGTCTGAGGGTGAAATGAAGTATTTACACAGTGAGGGATGGAGAAAGGACTCAGTGGTTAAGGGCATTTGTTGCTCTTGCTAAGGACCCTAGTTCAGTTCCCAGCACACACATGGTAGCTTATAACCATCCGTGACACCAATTCCAGAGAATCTGATGCGGCCTTCTAACTTCCTTGGACACAGGTATATACATGGTCATACATACATTCAGACAAAGCACTCACACACCAAAAGTCTTAAAATTTTTTTTAAATATTTGATATACAACAATCACATATAACCATTCTTCTTTCTTCATCTATATTGTGATGTCTACATAATGAGTTCAAGGGTAACCTGGGCTACATACGCCTCTCTCTCTCTCTCTCTCAAGAAAAAAAAAAACAACTAACAACAACAGGCAAAAAAAAGCCCCACAAGTAAAAGTTTAGTAAATGAAACTTGCTATGTAATTTTTGGTGTATTTGCACCAAATGAATGAGGAAAATGACTATACTATAATCCATCTTACAGGTATTCATAATTGTGTACATAATGACTAAATATGGGGGGAAAGAAAATAATTTATATTCTGGAAATTAACTTGAAGACTTTACTTCCTTAAGAACTTTACATTCCTCTACATTTAACTCTATTAAAACACTATTTAATTATTCCCACAAAAATGCCATAAGTAAACATATACACATTCAGCTTAGATTTTAAACACATGCAAGTTAATTGCAAGAAAATGTATTGACAGAAACAGAAGGCAATATATAAGCTACCATAAAAATCAAACTCAATCTACTATGACCGGTTACCCTAAATTGAGGTTTTTTTTTTTTTTGTTTTTGTTTTCCCTACTAGAATATTGCAAAATGGAAAATGAAGCCACTGGGTCTCAATAGAGCACATCTAAATCCTATCAGTTATTAAGGAGAAAACCAGGAAAGTGGAACTGAGCTAAACTTGCAGAAAATATTAAAATTGGTTGACTTAACCAACTTGAATCTTAAGGCTCAACACAATGAGTGTAACAGAGCTGGCTTTCATGCTTTGGTAAACAAGTGTATGATTTAACCAAGCTAATACAAAATTAGATTCAATTAGACTTTTTTGCTGCAGAGTATTTGCTCTACCATGCTGACAGCTGGGTTTTTTTTTTTGTTTGTTTGTTTGTTTGTTTTGTTTTTATATAATCTCAACTACAGTGCTCCAACAAACCTATCATTCTGCAGTGGCTAATGGGCTATGTTTTCCTGTTTTTCATGATAGCACTTTCATTTTAGGATCCTTTAAATCATAAATCTTCACACTATAGGAAGGTGTCTGGGTTGAGAATGAGTACATTATGAGGTAGAAGCTACGGATAACCTTAAGAAAACTTCAAAGGCACAGAGGGGACTCTGGTTAATCTTAAATGTATTCTAGGTGGTAGAACTTAACATTAACATTTACAACAACAGTAACAACAAACAACTCATAGTAAAGTGATTTTTGTACTTAAAAGTATAGTAAGTGAATTATCTTTGCTTTTGCCATAATGGTAAGGCACAAATATTTGAAGTTATTAACTGGAGACACGGGAAGCAGAGTTTCCTTATGGAAAGAGATGGCGGAGTTTGGCATTAAGTTCCCTCTCCTTGCTTAAAAGATCCAGGCTGTGCTTTTTGAAGGCTTCTGACTGGAGACGCAGCTCATCATAAGCTTTTTGGATCCCATCTACCTTGCGCTGAAGCTCGCGAACTCTCAAGTTGCTATCAACGGCCGCTGCTTCCTGCTCAAAGCGTTCTAGCGCATGCTTCTTGGCCATGGCTGCTGTCTCCAACTTCTCCTCAAGCTGGCGGATCTCAGCCTGTTTGTTTTGGAGCACCTTGCCCCTCTCCATGGACAGCTGCAGCAGCTCTTCTTTCTCCCTCGAGACAGTCTGCAGCCTGGCCTGCAGCTCCTCGCTCAGGCTGCTACGCGCCTCCTGTTCCTTCGCCATCTGTTCCATGGTCTGCCGGTGTCTCTGCTTGAGGCTCTGCAGCTGGCTGCGCAGCTGCTCTGTCTCCTTGGCATGGGCACAAGCCTGCTGGTTCTGCAGACCCAGCAGCTTTTTCTCTCGGGCCTCTGCCTCGCTGGCATCATGATCACATCTTTGTTTCAAGACTTCCAATTCCTCCGCCAGGGCCTTGTTATGTGCTGTGAGCTGCAGCACCCTAGCCTCCTGGTCTTTCAGAGCCTGGCTGAAGAGGCTGCTATTCTCCCGCCTCAGCTTCTCGTTCTCCTCCTTCAGCTTCATGTTTTCATTCTTGTGTTCGTCCTTGAAGCGGATCATCAGCTCGTGGTTGGCTGCCAGGGTCATAAAGCGGTCTTCCAGCTTCTGGGTGTGCTCACTCTGGATCTTCAACTTCTCCATCTCCTGCATCCTCTTTTCCTCCAGCTCCGCATTGAGCATCTCGAGGATTTGGCAGCGTTCGAGTGCCTCATCGGATCTGCGTTTCAGGATGCAGATGAGCTGGGATTGCTCTTGGATGCGGGAGCGGAGCATTGCCTTCTCGCTCTTCTCCTCTTCGGACAGTCCCCTGAGGTTGGCCAAAGCTTCTTTCAGACCGTCCATTTCCTTAAACCCCAGGTCGTCATCGTCCACCTGGTGCTGCAGGGTTTTGTTTGGCTTTCCTAGGGCCCGGTCGGGGGGTGGGGCATCCATCCTAATCTTCTTCTCGTCCTGTGGCATAGACGCTCTGCCAGAGAGCTGCCTTTCGTCTCACCCCGTCTGACTTCAAAAGGGCGTTGTTATGGTCTCTTGGCACTCTCCAGCAGTTGGTTTTTCCAGTAAGGGGCCCCGTCATTGGTAGACAGACCTTCAGAATGCAGTGAGGTAATAGGGGGAGTCCAGAGCCAATCTGGTCAGGCCTCTCCTGCCTTCTTAACCAATCACAGCTCTCAGTTCACGGCCACTGTCCAGCCCGCTCGGGACAAAGAAGCCAAAGTCAGCTTCCTAATCACAGCGGCGTACAAATCCTGATTTTTGGTAAGAGTAGACAAAGCAAGCTTACAGAGACTTATTCTCCTCTTTGTCCTTAAAAGAAACTACCGTCTATAGAAATACAGTTGCCTCGTGTGCTTACAAAGTAAAAGTCTGGACCCAACTCTTAGCTCAGCTGTTGTAAATGAAATTTCTTTCCGTTTCCCTCAGCATTCACCTTACCTCTGGAAGGAAACACTACACAGATGTGATCGAATCAGCAAAAAACCCATAACGACTACTTACACTTATGCCTAGCACGCTGGAGAAACAGAATTAAATGTATGTTCAACAACAGACGCCAAAGGTAAAAAATCAAATATGTATAATTAGCATGTCAAATAGGACTGACATCTTAATATAAAGCTTAGAGGCATAGAACATCATGTTAAAAGAAAAATGAATAATTATATTAAAAAATAAGGGGACAGAAACCGCTGAGCACTGAGCCTCAAGAATTTTCCAACAGATGCAAATAAAAAATAGATAGTATTTCATCCACCAAAATTAGTAAAAAAAAAAAAAATTCTCCTTATTATTTATGGCTCCCAGGATTTGTGTGGAGATGGTGAAAGATGTCCTTTATATTATGGGTGAAAGTAGGCTAAAGAGCTTTAGTAATTGCTCTTGTGGGGAGCTAGTTATTTGGAAAATAATCTGAAAGAAGATATTTTGTGCAAAGTTTTTGTCGGCTGCTTCATAGTAATTAGTAAGCTTGAAATCTAAGTATTCAAAATGAAGCAGCTGTTGAACGTTAGCATGTTTAAAGAAAAAAATTTCACAGCACAGGAGATACTTATGTTAGAAAGATGACTGAAGAAAAGGAGCTCGATGTTCAAAATGAACTCAGTACTGTGAAACTTAGGGACAGATACGTGGTTGTTTCTTTGTGTAATGACTGTGTTGGGGAGCTAAACTTCATATATATCCATATGGTGACAAAGAAGTCTGTGTGTCCTTCTGTTGTAGTGATGTTTAAATACTTTTACTGGGGGAAAAATAAGACAAAAGGGTTGAGATATTCCCTTTGGTCTCAAATATTCAGTATTTTTTTTCCTCAGATCACGAATTTCTTGTCTATACATGGATGGCAAGGCTGAGGACTAGGAACTTTCCTAAACTGGATGTTTTAGACTTTTACATTTTTTAAATTGAGCTGGGCACAGTGACAAATGCCTGTAATTCCAGAACTATGGGAGGCCGAGGCAGGTGGATCTATGTGAGTTTGAAGCCAGCTTAGTCTACAAAGTGAGTCCAGGATAGCCAAGGCTACACAGAGAAGCCCTGTCTTTAAAAACCAAAATTAAAAAATTTAACTGATAAAAGCATAAATATTACACATATTAACAGGGCACTATATAATATTTTATATATTTTTTCAATCAGATTTAAGATATCTGTCTCCTCAAGCCTTTGCTTTATCACTTCTTTCCTTCCTTTTTTCATTTCCTTCCTTCCTTTCTTCCTTTCTTCCTCTTTCTGTGAGAAAAAGTCTCATTTAGCCCAGGCTGGCCTTAAACCTACCATGTAGACAGGCATGACTCTGAAATTCTGACCCCTATCTCCAGAGGCCCCTGGAATGTGGGGTTATAGCCATGAGCCATCACACTCTGCCTATTTATAAGTTTTTTTAATGGTGAAAAGATTTACAATTCCTTTCTTCTACCTTTTTGAAATATACATACCTTGGCATTACCTGCATTCACTCTGTTGGATGGCATAGCAGAATCTCCTGCTGTAATCCACATCTCACTGCAACTTAGTGCCTCTGCTAGTTCACTTCTTTGCTGTTGTCATCAACACTAGGCTTGTGGAGAGAAGGGTTTGTTTCAGGTTACAGTTCCTCATCTGGGGTAGCCAGGACAACAGTTCAAGACAGGAACCAAAGCAGAAACAATGGAAGGGTCCTGGCTTGCTCAGCCTGCTCTCTTATATCACCCAGGCCCATCTCCCACAGAGAGCAGGGCCCACCCATATCAAGCATTCACCAAGAAAATGTGCCACAGACATGCCCGCAGGCCAATCCAATAGAGGCAATTCCTCAGCTAAGGTTCTCCCGTCCAAGATGGCTCTAGTTTGTGTTAAGCTGACCTAAACTAACCTATCAATCAACTTCTCTCTATTCCTTCCCACCACAGCAGTTTCTGGGAACTCTAGCCAGCAGCAACATGGTGGCTAGATTATTGTTGTATTTTACATAATAAACATTGGCAAGAAACAAAAAACAATTTCATTGGCCTTGCCAGTAAACCAGTCATCTGGTTACAGATTACACTTTCCTTCTCTCTCTCTCTCTCTCTCTCTCTCTCTCTCTCTCTCTCGCTTTCTTTCTTCCTTTCTTTTCTCCTCCTCCTTTCTTTCTTTATTTTTTGAGACAGGTTTTCTTTGTGTAGCATTGGCTGTCCTGAACTCAATTTGTAGACCAGGCTGGCCTCAAACTCACAGAAATCTGCCTGCCTCTGTCTCTGCGTCCCAGAGTTCTGGGACTACAGCTGTGTGCCACCGCTAATGTCTGTGGTTACAGTTTCTTTAGTCAACTGGCTGCAGGTCTTCTTTATGTAACAGCCACAACTTAGTTAACATTCTTAAACTCTGTATTGATTTAGTCTGCAAAACCGAAATTTTAACAAATATTGAAGATTTGTAAAATGGTTACCAAAGACTTTAAAAGTGTAAATTAACCAGGCTACTGTGGATAACTCCAAGTGTGGTCACATTGACTGCCCTTGCTAAAAAATCAGGGGGTCATAAAGCAAAACAAAAGAAAGCAAAACAGAAGGGGAGGAATCTGAGGAAAAGACTTATAAGGAAAACAGGGAAATCATTAATGGGAAGGCAGTAAGAAAAGGCGGGGTGGTGAGAGTTATTAAAATGGATTATATAGTTGTCTGAACTTGTCAGAGAAATTTTATCAAAAAAGAAAACAAGAAAAAGAAAAATACCAAAGCTGTAAATGACTTTATTGTACCGTTTGGCCTCATTTTTACTACCTCTTCCTTAAATCTCAAGCTACATTGCATGAAGGAGAACTTCTACAGTCAGGACAAGTAACCAGAACATTAGAATCTCTCTCTTCTTAATTTTATATACAGCTAACATTGCGGCTGTGGATTCTCTTGACACAACAAACTGAGCTCACAGCATACATTTCTTAAGGACAGGGAAAACTCAAAATATTAACAGCAGTTGTTTCTCCAGGTAGGGCGATGGTCTCTCTCTCTCTCACCACCTTCCTAAGGTCCACATACATACTGAATATTCAGCATTGTTTGTCCGTTGAAAAGTTTTTCCACATTTAAAAATGCATTCCTTTAAGTACAAATTAGCTTCTGTAACATCAAATCCATCAAATCTTTTTAAATCAAAGCTAAGAACTTCAAAAGATTTATTGATGGAGCGGGAGGAAGACTAACCAACACGTAGGGTGTTTGGGAAAGTGTGAGGAGACCTGTTTTATAACCTTCCTGTGTTAGAGCGTTTAATTGTATACAACCCTGCACAGGGGATAATATTATCTCAGAAGCCACAGATCACCAAACAAAAAGCCAAGTGCCAGGAATAAGATGCTTGCCTTCAAGTTGTTGACCGCAAGGATTCCAACAACCCCTAAAATGGTAACAGGACATCTCCATTCTTCTTGGTTGCCCACCAGAACTTGATAATAAAGCCCTATTGCTGAAGGCACCACGTGCTTTTGTCACAGAATGTGGAAAATCAAGCTGATATTGACTTGGAAGATTCCCTTTTCACTGGCTAGCTTTCATAGCTCTGGAAGGTGCTCTCTAGGCTCACTGGGAGAAAGTTATCAACAGTCTTACCCAGCTGTGAATCCTGAAAGCTACAATAACAATCAGCTCAGCAAGATATACTCATAGGTGAATAATATCGAGGTGACCAACTTTTTTTTTTTTTCATTCAGTTTAAGACATGTTTCTCAAAGTGGAACTCATTATCTGGTACTCTTACCTGGGTCAAGAACCCTTGGTAGGTAACAGGCCCAAGGAAAGAATCTATTACTACTGTCTCGTTAAATGAACATAGATCTAACTTCATCTAAACACTTACCTTTTTATGTATACATTAGTGCAGCTCTCAACCCTCAGCAGAGAAGCTGATTTTAGCAACGGATGATGATTAAAAACAGAGAGTCACAACTGGTCATAGTGCAAAGAATAAAAGACTAGGGTTCTCGGCTTTAAATGGAGCATCTGTATTACCAGTTCCCCGTTCCCCTCTCCACACAGAGCTCAGGGTCCCTTTGTAGAAGAAGGAGTGGAAGGATTAATGAGAGCTAGAGGTTTACAAAAGTATTTCCTGGACACCCAGGGGCCCCTTCTGGAAATGATGTTACACAGTCATGGGGGCGTGCACAAAACTCCTGCAGATCAAGTTCGTCAAAAATTTCACATGGATGTGTTGTATAACAGTTTACTCTGAGATTGAAACATTCCATTCTACAAGGAAGTTTTAACCAGGAAAGGAAACAACTCAGAACAGCTTCAGGAAGTCCCTGAAACTGATCAGACCTACTAGGCCCCTCTCTACCAGAGTAAATGATAAAAGCTGAAAGTCACTCTCAGACTAACAGAGCTAAACTGTACAGAAGATTTTCAGCTCAGTCGAGCTGCAGAGGAGACCAGGACCAAACAAGCTACCTTGAAGAAGCAGAAACCACTCCACCTGCCTGGAAGACATTTAGACCAACTGAGATAGCTGAAAAGTGTATTCTCCAACCTGCTGAGCTGCCTACATGGCTGTGCAGTGTGCTCTAGGATCCATGCTTTTGGGCTCTGTCACCCATGCTTGAGTGGGCCTTGATGATGCAGCCATCTTTGAGTCATTTCTGCTCCTGTTAAGCAACCCCTCACCCATACTCTGGTAAGGAACCCCAATAAAACTCATTGGTTCACCACACTAGACTTTGGTGGTATCCATACTTTGGTTTGTCATGGGATCCCTTTCTGGGGTTTGAAGGTGTGTGTGTGTGTGTGTGTGTGTGTGTGTGTGTGTGTGTGTGTGTGTTGAATCTCCTCAGGGCTAGTTTTATCACACAAAAGAGTGTGATACATGAGGAGTTACTGGCAGCTGATGGCTACTGGGGATGGGGAGGGAACAACGGTTTTATTCATAGATGCCACCCTTGGTTAGGTTGCCCATTCTCCAGCTGATGGCCCTACTTCTACTCACAAACTGGCAGTACTAACTAGACCAAGTGGTTAATTAAATAGAACCAGAAGGTCAAATGGAGATGGAGTGAGTCATGGATGTCTGGAAAGAGCTGGAGGGATAGAAGAGGGTGAATTTTGTTGAAATGACCTCATAAAAAATAGAACACAATTAAAAAGAATGAATCAACACAAAAAGAAAATAGGTGAAGATATAAATGGAGTACCTAGGACACTAGCCAACCTTTTCGCCTCGGATTCTTTTTTTTTTTAAAACCACAAGTGAAGACTTGCTTACCTACGTACACTGTGATTCAACGGGAAACACCAGTGATCAACTCTATCACTCCTACTCTGTGCATAACTAGTGTATGCTTTGTAAGAAATATGACAAATGAATTAACTGGACACATGACTAAATAAGCAGTGAGGATACATATTTAAAATGCTAGTGTAATACTTGAGAAAACTGCAAAAGAAAAAAAAAATCCTTGATATATTCAGAAAGCCTTTGCAGCACGTCTCTAGATTAAAAATATGCTTTGAACTTCAGGAAGGTCTTTGTGTAAAAGTCGCATAGGCACAAGCAGAGTAAAACAAAACAAAATCCCATCGCTCTGCATCTCCTTGTGGAGGCTGGGAGGTTTTATTGCCCATACTCCTACCTTGAAGGTAAGGGTTGTGGGGATGGGAGGAGGCAGGTAGACCTGGCTGGGGTTGGGTGAGCACAGCTGATTTCTTTAGCGCTTCAGAGATGAAGGGATGCTGGGAAGTGACCACACTGTGACTGTGGCCCAATCAGGGCAGGGCTTGCAGTGACACTGTATTCTAGCACACCATCCGGCCAGCGGCTCTGTTAGCTCACTAACTAGCGGACTCAGGGCTACAGTATTTGTTTGGGAAAAGAGGCAAAAAACCTGGTAGGCTTTTAAATTTATTTAATTTGTTTGTGTTTTGTTCTGCTGCTTTGTTTTGGACCAGTCTCACCATGTAGCGCCGGCTGGCCTCAAACTTACAACATTACTCCTGCCTCAGTCTCCTAAATCAAGGGTTATAGGTAAGAACCGCGTTTTCCTTCTCGGTTTTGATGACGTGTATGATGCAACTTTATAAGATTTCTGTTCATTCATTATCCAGACCTCCTTAAATCTACATTAAACCAGAGATTGTTTTGAGAAATCAAAATGGTGTTTGGGGTCTTAAGGTAGAGTAATGTTTCATGTATCAAAACTGGCCCAAAGAAGTCTCCGTGGAAATTATTAAGAAGAAACATTACCTTACCTTTGGCAATTAATGCTGACTTATTTTCAAGCTTCTCAACAAGTATTTTTAAAATAAAAGTCTTGCTTTTTATAATAAGCAAAGATGTTCAGTTTGATGAAACAATGCCTAGAGTTGCATTGAAGACCCTAAAGAAATTAGCAATATTAGAGAATTTATATATTAGGATTCATAATGCAATGTATTTTTTAATCTAAGAAGTCAGGCTAGCCCACAGTACAATTTAAATCATGATAATTTATTATAAGTGTTTTTACAAAATACTTATGAAAATCATACATAGGAAGTACAATTAAATTGAACAATTTATATGCTAATTAAATCTTTGCAGCAAAGCATATTGGTGACTAATTTTATGCTGTTTCCACACACTAAAATTATAAGAAAAACATCAATTATGTGCAATGTTTTAGCAAACTCTTATAAAATACAGACTTGCCATCATCCATTTTAGCACAAATTAAGCAAAAATAAGCCAAGAGCTGAATTCCACATGCAGCCAGTAGGTGGCACCAAAGTCCATTTGAGACGGAGACGGTGGGCTGGCGAGGGGGCGGGGTGTTCCCAAGGCAGATTTATGGGCAGTGAAGTCAGTCTTACTGCCCTAGGATGGAATTCGATGTTCTATTAGAGGTTACCAAGTAAGTAGTTGTCGTATTATGTAGTTGTCCGTCATCACTGCTGCTGTTCTCTCTCCAAGCCATCCGGGTCGTCACTTGGCCAGCAACCTTCCTATTTAGACGCCCGGCGAACATTTTAACTGAATGGCAGGCCTGAACAGCAACACACGTTCGTGGCGTGAAGCATGTTTCTTTGGTGTGGCAGCAACGGCTCCGTTTTCCTAGCCTGTTCAACAATCTTCTGGAAGGGTGGTATTGCACATCTTACTGGGCATACCTCTTGTCCCTGTTTAACTCTCTTGAGCCGTGCAGTCGAAGAAATAAATGCATACAGATTAACTTGGGCATGCATGCTGAGTAGTCACTAGTGACAGCAGGGGACATTTGTCCAAGCAGTCAGGACTCTCAAGCTCAGATCCACCTCGGGAGTGACCGGTGGTGGAACGGGCCGACGAGGCTCACTTGGAAATCTTGGCAATCAGAAGCATCCTGAGGGGTAATGTTGCTTCAACCCAAGTGTTGGGAGAATTGACCATCTTCTCCCAGAGAGCAACTTCCTCAGAGGTAGAATCCATCCACTCTACTTCAGTCCCATAGCTTTTGCCTGAAAGAAAGTTTCACATTTTCATTTACGTTTCCACTAGGCAGGCGAGGAAAGGGGGGTTAGTCATCCCCTAATTATAACCAGCTTGGAAGACAAGGGAGAGTTCGCATATGGCTGGAAAGCACATCCGGGGCTTAAGGAAGAACTGTTTCCTACCCAAGTGGCTTCATTTTCTTAATCGTCATGACTCCCACATGACTGATCTTCACACAAATGTGAAAGCTGGACAATAATTTTTTAGGGGCATATAGGAATTTGGTGAATTATGTATTGAGTTAGAGATGACACTAGAGGAACCCTTAGGAATACTAAAGTTTTTTTTACCTGAAAGGGTCAACTTTATAGTTTGCTTCTGTCATTAACCATTATTTATTTATTATCGTGTTGTTATTATGCAATGTTGGTTCTCTTGGGACTATTACTAATTGCCTTGTGGAACTGTTATTAAAAAATAAATGTATTAATGTAAATAAAACATGTAACACAGTAATGAAATGGTAGTCACTACAATTGTTCAAGGGAGACCTGTGGCCATAAGTGTTACATGTGGGAAGACACGAACCTTCCTGGCTCGCTCAACCATCTTCTGAAAGGTTGGCATCTTCAGAAAGGTTGTCATTGTTTAACTCTCTTGAGCCGGGCACTCAGAGAGACGCACGCAGACTGCTTGGACATGCTGCACAGAGCTCATTAGCGGCACCAGGTAAGAGTATTTGTCCATGAAGTCAGAACTTTCAAAGTCTGATTTTGGAACCTTCCAGCGGAAGCTTAAGTTCTGCAAGGACAGACCCTGAGCTCTGCTGGTCCTTCTAACCCAGAACCCTTGGAACGCTAATGGCCTTTCTCTCAATGGTTGCATTCCCCCCCCCCCCCCGGACTTCAGTATCTCCTGGGGAGTTTGGCTCATAGAGAATTAAACTTGTAACAAATGTCACCTGTTCCAAAGCCGATCCGGAGCCCTCCCAGAAACTGGTTGGTTAGTTTATAATGGTCCCAGACTGTGAGTTCTACACAGGCTTCTGTCAGATCTTCAGGCCTAAACCCGTCGTACACCATGGTATGATTGAAGACGGGGTTGGTGGTTTTCCCTACAGCTCTAGTCTTCTGGCGACTTTTCCTACTGGTATCTGGAAGGATGGTACTATAAAAAGAGAAAGTAATGTGAGGGGGTTTTAGTTAAGAAAGTGAACATTTACGCTGTCGACACACCTCAGCACAGCTATCAGCTAGGCAATGGAGGGGGAAAGTATGGAAACCAAGTATGGTGCCTCACACCTATCATCCAAGCACCCATCAGGCTGAGGTAGGAAGGTTGAATTGAGTCTTTAAAAGAAAAACAAAAAACAAACAAATAAAGCCCTGCTAGGAAGACAGCTCTGTCAGAGAAGTGCTTTGGGAAGCATGAGGACCTGAGTTCTATCACCAGACTCCACACCAAAAAGCTGACCAGGGTGGTGTGCTCGTCTAATCCAAGTACTGGGGATCAGACAGAAACGGAAGAATTCCCGAATCTCCGTAGCCACACAAAATAGCCTAATTGCTGAGTGCCAGGCCAATGAGAGACCGTGTCTCAAGGGAAATGGACTGCAGTCCTCTGGCTTTGACATGCATCACGTAACACAGACAGACAGACACATATACTCACACACACACACATGCACACCACAGAGCATGTTGGAGACACCCAGCTGGTAGTTTAGTAAAAGTCAGGGAAAGATGCATGGTGGTGCTGGAAAGAGTGGGCACAGAAACAGCCAACTGGATTTGCAGCCCGACTCTGAGACTTAATGACTATAAATTCCAGGAAAGTCACTCAGCTCCTCAGACACTTGCTTCCTTAGTACAAAGTGGGAATGGTGATGTTGACTGTCTAAGATTCGCATTAGAATTTAGTAGCATGCAACACACACGATTCAGTTGATAGTAATTACTAATGTGGTGGGATTTCTAGAGGATTGTTGTAGACATAGGTTACTGTGTAATTCAAATGCTCATTTTTATACCCCCACATCTGTGTGCAATGCTTGTTCTGAGACTCTCCTGTCTCGATGTTGTATAAACACTGCTCCCCAATTGTCCCCCGATATGCCAATAATGCAGTTTACAGCCAGTCACAGAGCAGGGGAGAGAATAGGGCTGGACTTCCTGCCAGCCAGGGGAGGAGGAGTTAGAGGAGGAAGTAGGGGATTCAGCTGTTAGAGGTGTCCAGGAGATGTCAGAAAGGGGAGCTGGGGCAGGAGAGCTACAAAGTGCAAGTATCTCGAGGATGTAGGCTGGGAGGAAGCAAAATTAGCTTAGAAGTTTAAGAATAGATTAATAACTGCTCAGTTGTTGTGTTGTGAAACTTATTAAACTAATATAGAAGAGTCTCAATTATTGGTGTGATAGGATTATGGGAGAAACCGAGAAACACAGTTTTATAAAATTAACTTTAACAAACTCTCTTGGAATTTAGCACAGATGAACTGGAGATAGTCATGCCAAATGAATTGTCAGACTCAGACACAAACTATCACATATAGTGGTAGGGAGAGAGGTAAAAATAAAAGCATAAATGTCTATAAAATAAAGGAATAAACAGAAAAAGGGAGAGTTGAGAGGGAGGGAAAGACGAAAGTACATTGTATACTTGTATGAAAATGTCCTTATATAATCTAGCACTGTGTGCAATGAATATATGTTGATTGGGGGATAATTAAAATGTAAAAAAAAAATCATGGTGTACCCTATAAATATAAAAGATAATTTGTGCAGGTTAACCTATCAGTATAATAAATATCAGTAATAAGAAAAATAGATTAAATATAGAAAATATGCCATGTGATCATAATGGTAAAATTCATATGCCCCCAAAATAATTATTATATGTTAGAAGTTTTGTTGTGATTTGAGCCTTGTTGGTTAATGTTTCCTGAAATCAATGATTTAAAAAATCAGAACTTCAGTGTATTCCTGATTGTCAATCTAAGGAATTATTGTCATACAAAATTGAAAAAAGAGAAATCCCTCCATTGGGCTAGATTTGACTTTGAAAATAAATAATTTGACAATTTTGCAACCACAGGTGTCTCATTCGTGGTAACAATTAAGTGAACCCTAACTTAGCGTGCCCCTCATAGAGACAAGAAAGTCTGAAAATGTAAGAGGCTGGCCGGAACTGAATCACCTTATCAGATAACAGCTAGTCCATGTGTGTGTGTGTGTGTGTGTGTGTGTGTGTGTGTGTGTGTGTAAGAAACAATGCCATGTGATAGACGCTCAAATCTGTGTCACATTGTCCTACATAGTATGACTTATCTTCTAGTAGCAGCTCTATGGGTAAAATTGGAGCTCGGAGGCTGCACCAGTATCCACTTAGCCATTGTTTACTAGATGTCAATCATTTTATATGTACAACGGAGAGGAAAGCTTGCTGTCTGGAAGCTCAAAGTGTCTTAGGCGCTAACTCCTGGTTGGGACTTTCTTTGCCAAATCACTCTCAAAATTAAGTGCAATCTGATGCAAATAGGCAAAAAACAAAACACACAAACAAAAACAAACTTGGTAAACAGAAACCCTCCCTGGTTCAATAAGGAGCCACATAGTGTGTCATCAGCATTAACATTTTGGTGCTGGCTAATCTTATGTCAACTTGACACAAGCTAGAGTCATCTGAAAGGAGGGATCCTCAGCTGAGAAAATGCCTCCAGGAGATCCAGCTGTAAGGCACTGTCTTTGTTAGTGATTGATGCGAGAAGGCCCTGTCCATTGTGGGCAGCGCTATCCGTGGGTTTGTGGCACTGGGTTCTGTCAGAAAGCAAGCTGAGTAAGCCATGAGGAGCGAGGCATTAAGCAGCACCCAACCATGGCCTCGGCATCAGCTCATGCCTCCACGTTTCCGCCCTGCCTCTGTTCCTGTCCTCACTTCCTTCGATGATGAACAGGAACATAAAAATGTAAGCCAAATAAACCCCCTTTGATCCCCAACTTGCTTTCTGGTCACAGTGTTTTGTCTCAGCAATAGAAACCCTAACCAAAACAGCTATTTTGTACTAGAAATTCCCTTAGCAACAGAGGTACCTCATAAGACATTCTACATAGAAGTTTGAAATATCTAGCTTCATTTGGAGACATGATTTCTTTAGGTTTGATTTTAAAACCAAATAAAGCTTTGGGAGTTGATGCCATACAGTTTGATGTCTCTAATACTCTATAACCGACGAGTGTCAGCATCACTGATACAGAGAATTGGCACCAGCCAGCAAAGACAAGGCCACAGGTGAGCTAAACAAAGTCAAGTCATGAATGTTACCATTTAACGAAAGAATTTAGGTGGCTCCCCCTCAGCAGTGGGAGGTCAAGGCATTCCTTCACCCAGATGTGGACTTCTCCGGTTGTAGGAGGCTTTTTGCCTGGAATTGAACAAGGAAAATCAGTGTGTTGGAAAAGATGTCACCTTGCATGCAGAGCAGCACAAGGAAGCAAGCTAGTGTGTGACGGCGTTAAGTTGATTAAGCTTATGGACGTCCAGCTGTGTGCTTCTTACTCTGAAGGTCCCAAAGCTGGCTAGCTCTATAAATATAGGAGCTAGTGGCAAGAGAAAGGTGCTCATGGAGGGAGAGTCGCTCTTAAGGATGTGGCTCTGCTGGGTTGACCACGCTGTGGAGGTTAGAAGGCCACGCAGCCAGGAAGAGTATGTGGACAGCACACATTGTACATGAGGGGAAAAGAAGAAAAGTAAGGACACAAAGAGGTTTGGTAGGAACTCGGAGGGTGGCTCTGGGGGGAGCTGGGAGAAAGGTGAATGTGTTCCAGTCACACGTCATAAAATTCTCAAAGAACTAATTAAAAACCGAAAAAAAGAATTCGGGAGAGTGGGAGCATTCATACTGCTTCCAGGTACAGAGGGTTTGCGCTTCTTTGGTGCTATCACTTGGTCAGACATGGAGGGGATGGTTCATCTGTTTACAGTTACATTCGACACTTCTCAAGACAATGAATAACCTCATCAAATACAATTGCCAGTGAGAACTGGTGAACTGTAAGAAATTTTAAAGGCAGCTTTGAATGTAAAGTAACTAAACTAAGATACTGGCTTCTTTTTATAGCCCCTCCCCCATGTTAAATCTCCTTACACGTGTAACAGGGTTGTTGACTATACATGCATGATTGTTAGTACCATAGATAATTTCCAGGAAGTTGGTTTAATCTGAAGTTGCTGCTAGACTGCTTGCACATAAACAGAGGAACACTATCAGATTTTTCTGGGTGGCTTAGTCCAGTCAACTAAACCACACTCACTGATCTATAGCCATATCTATAAAATCCTCACACTTAGGAGAGAGAGAGTGTGTGTGTGTAGATACACACATACATACATATACAAGGAATACAAAGATGATGGTTGGGAATTTATATGGTTATACAGGAGAAATGAATTTAAATATAATTAATTCAAATAAAAGCACAAAAAATGAAACAGTGTAAATGTCAAGCTATTTACCACAGTGCTCTAGAAAATGATGTGCTCAGTGAGTGCTACCTTAGTCAGGAAAAGCTTTGTGGAGCTGAGTCTCCCATCTAAGACTTAGGTTGAAGAAGAGAAGAAAAATGTAGGGAGAAGTATCTATGGGAGTAAAAACTCAGAAGAGGAAGGAACATAGCAACAGATAATTCCCTCAGCCCTCACCACCGAGTCACAGCGGGGAAAAGCAGAAATGACACTTCTGTGCATATTGACCTCAAGTGACAGGACACAAAGTTATATGCAAAAAGATCTACAAGTTATAGGACAATGCTTGGGCTGCAGTTTGGCTTAAAGATATAGTTTGTCTCTTCCTCTTCCTCTTTTTCTTCCTCCTCCTCCTCCTCCTGCTCCTCCTCCTCTTCTTCTTTAGTGTAGAATGTCTTTTACTCATTCAACCTGTGCCTTCCCCAGCCATCATTCTTTTCCTCGGTAGCTTCTCGGCTTGGTTACTGAACATGTGAGTTTTGCAGCTACTGACTTCAAGTACAATATTTCTCAAGGGCAATCTGCCTGGGAAATGAGATGTTGGCAGGGTCTGACAAGCATTTCCTGCCAGTTTTTTGGGCTTGTTGAACTGGCTGGAGACCTAAGGCTCCAGTGTCCAGGCTGTGATCAGGAATCAAGACAGAAAGAAAGCTTTATCTTCTAATGAGACTAAGAAAGGAGGATCAAGGAGCTCCTATGTCTTGGGGACTTTCTATGAATCCTTTTAATTCCCACCTGGAAAAAAAACACTCAAGTTTCTTCCTTATCACAGTATTGTCAATAGGCCCAGATTCTCACTACAGCAAAGCCCATTTACACAGTACAAACACGAACATTTTTAGGGACCAAGTGGAAGGCAAAACAAAGGACAATATAAGGGCTGGGAAAACAAAAAATTTCCTCATAGAAATGGGAAGTGTTGGTATATTTTAAGCTCTGGGGTGGGGAAACAGGAGCTTCTATTTAATGGGTATAGTGCTGCTTAATGGGGCAAGATGAGCAAAGCTCTGGGAATCTGCTCTATCGCAGTGTAAATGTAACTCATATCACTAAATGATCAAGACATAGGGATTGTGTATTTCCTACCATAAGAAAAATAATGATTTTTTTTTTTTTAGTTTATAACTGAATTGACTCCTTTGGTCTATATAATTATTCATCTTTGAAAATGTAACAGAACACAAGTTATCTCTGGAAGGCAAAGAGATAAGTAGAGGGTTTGGATCTAAAGACACAGTCATTTCATACCAGGGCTTGGCTCTGGAACATACTGGAGGGCTAGCTTCATTTCACCTCTGTTTTCTGTCTCAAGTGCAACTGGTGCTGTCTGAAAAATAAAGGAATGTTAGCAGCTGTAAGAAATAGATGTTTCTCTGTTCTGTTAGTGAATACTCTGCCACAGCACATGTCTGTCCCATTTCTGGGAACACGGATCACTTATATGCTCCAAATTCAGCTATTCCTCTGCATCCAAGCTTCCCAATTATTTTTTATAACTAAGAAAAAAATGTTACCTGTCTCTGACGACCTCGAAACATACTCAGAAAATATTCTGTGGACGCTGCTTGTGTGTGTGTGTGGTTTTCCTGCTCTAGTAAAACACTCTGAAAAGCAGCTTGGTGGTGAGAGGTTTTATTTCCTTTTACAGGTGTGGTCCATCATCGAGGAAAGTCAAGGCAGCATAGGGACTTCAGCAGAGTGGGAACTTGAAGTAGAAGCCAAGGATGGATGCTGCTTGCCCTTTATTGTCAGATGGACACAGACCTAGAATCACTTGGGAAAGGGGCGGCTCCAGCTAAGAATTGCCTTGAATGGACTGTCCTGTGCCCACATATGTGAGGGTTGTTTATCTGTTTATTTTTGATCGATGACTGCTATAGGAGGGCCCAGCTCTCGTGGGTGGTACTATCTGCAGGCTAGGTGTGCTAGTAACGGCCCTGGAGGAGCAAGCCAGGGCTTAAGCAGCATTTCTCCCTGGTTTCTGCTTCAAGTCTGGTTCTGTCCAAGTTCCTGCAGGAAGCTCAGTGAACCCCAGATGGAGAAAAGAGTGAAAACGACACTAATGCTCACTATAATAAAGTTGCCAAAAGTCAAGAGACAAAATGGCCTCAAATCTGAAAGAAAAAAACAAAGACAAAACTTTCTAAAGGTTAAAAAAAAAATAGGCAGCTTTCCAATATAAATTACAGAAGCCAAGCTACAACAGAATGACATTTTTAAAGTGTTTACAGGATCATTTTCAACCTCACAACTGAACAAAAATATCCTCCAGAGATAAATGTGAAAAGGATATCATGAAGCAAGGAAAGCCAGAAAGGCTTATTGGCTTGCCAGTCGATAACCACGGGAAGCAAAAGTCAAGGGAAGCCTCTGGAACAAAAAGTATCCACGGAAAGATACAGGAAGGGGTCTACGGCCATTCCACCCAGAATGTGTCCAATCTCATCAGATCTCGGAAGCCAGTTAGAATGGGGCTTTGTGAGGACTTGGGTGGAAGACATGGTGAAGCAGTAAGCAGAAACAGGAAGTAAACACGCTCAGACCTAAATGAAAGCTTCTGAGCTAAATCGTTACCATGTGGGAGTTTAAATACACAGGTGATTACAATGTGACTGTAGATACCAGAAAAGATGAGGATATGAGTTAAGTGGAGTAAAGTGCTTTTGATTCTTCCTGTGGTCTGGATGTGAGAAGCCCTAATCTGGATTAGACACATTTGCATTCCTGTGCTGGGGATCAAACTGGGGCCTTGTGCATGCTAGGCAAGAGCTGTACCACTGAGCTGAAGCTCCAACCCTGGTAGGTACTTCTAATTCAAAAATAAATATTGCTAATGAAAATAAATAAAAAAGAGACTATGGCTTCTGTGTTAATAGAAAAGAGGTTTATAAGATAATTGGTTAAGTATCAAAGAAGCAATTATAGAAATAAAAATAATACAAATATCAAGACATTAGATTTTTATCCAAACATGTCAATAATTATATTAAGTACAAATAGATTAATTCAGTCAGAACGAATATTGGGAGTTGAATACGGTGGAGCAGGCCCATAATGGTATCAAGTCGGGGCTAAGCTGGGAGGATCATGAATTTGAGGCTCTCTTAGGCTAAAGGGCAAGTTCCAGGCAAGCCTTGGATAAGTATTGAGATGCTGTCTCTAAACAGAACAAGGCACATGCTCCTTTAAGGGACAATCTGACCATAAAGTAGGCTAAAAGTCTATCTCCGATTTCAAAGGACTGCAACGCTTGAATGACCTTGAGACTGAAGTCAAGCATTTATTCGCATTGAATGATTTGAGTTCTCCGTACATTTTTTAAAAACTCTCTTTTACCAAATGTATAACGTAAGTTCAATCGCAGCTTCAAATGATCCCAAGTTCCACACTGGCACCGTGTCATAAACACAGCCAGGCTTTTCCCTGTGTGCCAGATCCCGCACCAAGCCACCACACAAAGAAAAAATCTGAACCCACCTTCCTCTTCAGCGGGTACCATTTCAGCTCTCTGTTCTGTTTGCTCTCCCAATCCCATGATTCCAAGTCAAGTTCCACCTCCCCCAGAAAGCTGTTGCGCTTGAACGTATCTCGGTGCCAAACGGACAGGTTCAACTTCTGCGTCCTTAAGAGCTGCCTTTCGATTTTATACTGAGGAGAAGAAAAGAAAATTAAAACGATGACTACCACTACCTGATGCCAACGTTCTGACAGAGATGAAAAGTCAGCTGTGTGGATCTGAATTTCTCATCTGTTTGGTTTCGGGTCTCAAACGGCTTGCAAAGGCATATTACTCTACGTGTCTGATTTCAAAGAGCTAAAAACTTCATCTTTTACGAAAGCGGATGCCTTCCCCTCTGCTGGAAAAGGCAAACCTTGGCTCAGGTATCACAGCTGGAAATAACATTCTAAAAACCAAAGTCCATTATTCAACCTGTGCTGGAGGCTTTTACACTAGATAAGAGCATACAGTCAGGTTCAATCTAAAAACACAACTCGAATCTTGTTCTGTTTTTCTACCTAAGTCAAGGTCTTTACTTTTTTTCCTTTTTTTTTTTTTTTTTTAAAGATATCATTCAAGACCTTGCTATACACAACTTTCTATGTAGGCAAAAATAGCATTGCATTTCTCTTACCTCCACTCCACATACTCAGGTTATATCCATGCCCAGCTAGACTTCATTACTGAAAACAGTTTCAAGTTCACAGAAAAATCAAGCACAAGGTACAGCCTCCATACACTAAATGGCCCAACAAACAGACCTCCTGAATTATCAGGTTAAAAAAAAATTTTTTTTTCTTAAAAAAGAAAATTTGTTTTGCCAGCCTCATGCAGTTAGGTAGAAATGACTT